CTTGCCCTCTCTCTTTGCGCGCGCGCGCCCTTGCCCTCTCTCTTTGCACGCGCGCGCCTTCGCCCTCCCTCTCTGCGCGCGTGCATACCCTCGCCCTCTCTCTCTGCGCACATGCTCTCTCTACAACCCCTGCCCCCCCACCATCCCTCTTCCCCATAACCCTTCCTCACCATCTTTCCTTTTCAACATCTTGACAGCTAGCACCTGTGTTATGATCCCAGCTGATGTTAACAGTGGAGGGGTCTTAAAAAAGATCTTTCTTTCACTGAAACACGCACACAATGCTGTAGCTCTGGTTTAAAATATAATAAAAGCAATATAAAAAAAGTTTTAAAAAATAATGATCTGGGGGAAGGTATAGATGGTCTGATTAGCAAGTTTGCAGACGAACACTAAGATTGGTGGAGTAGCAGATAGTGAAGGGGACTGTTGGAGACTGCAGCAGAATATAGATAGATTGGAGAGTTGGGTGGAGAAATGGCAGACCAAGTTCAATCCAGGCAAATGCGAGGTGATGCATTTTGGAAGATCCAATTCAAGAGCGAACTATATGGTAAATGAAAAAGCCCTGGGGAAAATTGATACACAGAGAGATCTGGGTGTTCAGGTCCATTGTACCCTGAAGGTGGCAACGCAGGTCGATAGAGTGGTCAAGAAGGCATACAGCATGCTTTCATTCATCGGACGGGGTATTGAGTACAAGAGTTGGCAGGTCATGTTACAGTTGTATAGGTCTTTGTTTCGACCACGTTTGGAATACTGCGTACAGTTCTGGTCGCCACATTACCAAAAGGATGTGGATGCTTTGGAGAGGGTGCAGAGGAGGTTCACCAGGATGTTGCCTGGTATGGAGGGTGCTAGATACGAAGAGAGGTTGAGTAGATTTGGATTATTTACATTAGAAAGACGGAGGTTGAGGGGGGACCTGATTGAGGTCTACAATATCATGACAAGTACAGACAGGGTAGATAGCAAGAAGCTTATTTCCAGAGTGGGGGACTCAATTACTAGGGGTCACGATTTCAAGGTGAGAGGGGAAAAATTTAAGGGAGATATGCGTGGAAAGTTCTTTATGCAGAGGGTGGTGGGTGCCTGGAATGCATTGCCAGCGGAGGTGGTAGAGGCAGGCACGATAACGTTATTTAAGACGTATCTAGACAGATACATGAATGGGCAGGGAGCAGAGGTTTATAGATCCTTGGAAAATAGGCGACAGGTTTAGATAGAGGATCTGGATCGGCGCAGGCTTGGAGGGCCGAAGGGCCTGTTCCTGTGCTGTAATTTTCTTTGTTCTTTGTTCTTTATTGCACAAATTCAAGGAAAATAAAATAGAATAAATGAAGCTATTTACAAAATAAAAGTTGAAAGACTTGAAATAAAATCCCATCTATTCCCAGCACCATCACTTTACAGTGCTTAATCCCAGACAGATATCACTTCTCTGCCATATCTATTGGCATGATTTGACAGTTTCTTCCAATTCCTTGTCTTGACAGTTTGATAGTTTTTTCCTTTATTATGCACATAACTAAGCTTAAGCTTTTTTGCTTCAAATAACTGATTTGGGCTTATGACTAAACATTTTGATTTGGAATTTTGAAACTGTAGAGGTAAATTATTTCTTAAATATTTTTTTAAATTCATTCACGAGATGTGGGCTGCGTTTATTGCCCACCCCTAATTAGTAAAGAGTCAACCATATTGCTGTGGGTCTGGAGTCACATGTAGACCAGACCAACTGAGGATGGCAGATTTCCTTCCCTAAAGCACACTAGTGAACGAGATGGGTTTTTCCCCACAATGGTTTCATGGTCACCAGTAGATTTCAGATTTTGTTTTATTTGAACTCAGATTCCACCATCTGCTGTTATGGGATTCGAATGTTGGTCCTCAGTACTTGAGCTGGCTTTCTGGATTAATCGTCTCGTATTAACTAGATCATTGCCTCCTGTTCTGAACTAGCCCTTTTCTCCGGGTTAAGCTGATCTTGCACCTAACCTGAACCAGATTTCTGCAAACTTCCACCAAAACCTTCCCAATCAGTGTTTTAGTTCCTAGTTCTCCTAAACCAAATGCATTTTCAGTGTTTACTCTTTTTGACAGTGAATCTCTGTGTGGGGAAAGAAAATCTTATCACCCCAGGAGTTACTCTCTCACACATACTGATATAAAAATCATGATTCCAGAAAGACACACAGGTTAATTATTAATCCCCAACGTGTACATAGGCCAAAACCCATGTGCCGCTAATTCAAAATCCAAACTCTAAGTGACATATAATCAGACATTACATCACTGTGATGATGATGAAAATTGGAGAAATATCCACAGACTAAGAAGTCAGGTATATACAGATTTTGCTACAGTTGAGTATACACGACATCAATTAAATAGGCATGGTCTCATGTTCAACTCTCTCAAAGCAAGGACACTAAGAACTTCTGGCCTGTGTATGCTGCCTTCTTTTTTTAGTAACTGCTGACTTATCATCAATTCTTACACGTGTTTGTGTGTATTTGATGTTTTATTATTTTCTCTGGGTTAGTTGAGAATAAAATTCCTCTTTGCAAGAAAATCTTTTTTGGCTATTGAAAGTGACTTAGTGAGCTATGTTTTATTTGGAGAGCGATATAGCTGCATGCTTTAAAAACTATCTTTTAGCTAACAATGGGGGTTGGAGTGGAGTTAAAAAGAGAGGAGCCAATTGACCCCGCTTTATATGGCCACAACACCATCAGAGATACAGCTACTGCTATAAGAGCATTTGGCACACAGATCATCCAAGATGGCATCCTCTACAAGAAGGCTAGAGTCATTATCCACAAAGAGATGATTAAAGGAGTGCTGTAGCTCATTCATGAAAGCTATCAGGAATTGAATCCAGTCTGAGGAAGGCAAGGATAACCAAACATGAATAACTGAGATTTATGATTATGCTTGCGCATGAGGAGATGCAAGGAGATTTAATTGAAGTATATAAAACTATTGGAGGTTGAGACACAGTGAATAAGAAGGTTCTATTTCTTTAGTGGAGAGGTTAATAACCAGTGAACTTGGATGTAAAGTAATTCCAGAAGTATTAGAGAGGGAGGTTTTTTTTATTTCACCCAAGAGCATAGAGCCTTGAACTCACTGAATGCGGGGATGGTGGATGTAGAAACTGTCCTCATATATACAAAAGCAATGGAATGTATTCTTGAGGTTCTGTAATCTGCAAGGCTTCAGGCCAAGAGCGAGAAGATGGGATTAAGTGGTCAACACATGGCTACGTGGCCATATTATCTTTGCGCCGCAGATTTTCTCTGCTTTGATGAAGATCTCTCAATTTCAGTACCTGACCTCCAAGTCAGCCAACTACATATCAAGGGGAAAGAGACTTTAACAAAATTTCAGTTCCTATTACAATAATTTGTAAGTCGCATTTAAATTTCTCAATATAAAACCTGATGGAGTATGAAATGTGCATTCATCAAATAAACATTTCTATATTTATCAATATCTCAAAACCCATCACCTCAATTAGTGTATTGAAGTGCATGTTTTTTTACATCAATAGTGTATTTTAGTTCAGTACCAAAGACCACTAATTGTGGCACACACGAGCACAAGTGAAATGTGGGAATATGTTTGCTATTGTTTACAAATAGAACATATTAACATATATGTTAATTAGCCTGATTTTATAAATATATGACTACTAATAAAGTAGGCCATTCGCTGCTGCCTAAATAGTCGCCATTTCCAAGACTTAGAATTTTAATCAACGTTTTTACCTCCCTTTTTGCAGGGCTGAAAATTATTGGTGGAGAGGCCAGAACAAGCGCACACTGAAGGTGGGACAGTTCCCACGAAACACAGTGACATCCGTCGCAGGCCTTTCAGCCCATGACATCAGCCATCCACTCAAGAACAGCTTTATTCACACTGGGCATGGAGACACCAAACTTGAGCACTGCTGGGGCTTTCCTGACAAAATAGATGAGTACGTAGGAGTTTGCCTATATGTGGGGAAACAGCTTACTCCATGGAACCGAAGAGCAATTTAGAATTACTATGCATAAAAGCCACCATTTTATTTCTACTTTAATATACACTAAGAAAGGCTGTCTCTATAGGCATGGCAAGCATTTGCCATGTTTGTAGGTTATTTGTATTGTTGTAGTCAGTCCATATTTGATCATTAAATTACAGGCTTCCATTATTGTTGATGATAACAACTTCCATTTCTATCCTTTTTCTTCCTGTCCTTGATTCTTCCTCCCATTCTTACTTTCTATCTGAGTCAATGACTACTGCCAATTTATGGTGTTGACAGCATCTCATATTTCGCTGATTTCCAAGTTCAGAAATGAATAATCAATAAGTTTCAGCAAGCACTTGACCAAGGGTAATTAATAATCAAATGACGTCCTGTGTTCACAAAAATGTACATGCGTGCTTTCAATTTTATTGATGATCAAAAGGAGAAACTTTATTGTTGAACTTTTTGCCTTTCCATGTTCAGAGGCTAATTGTGGGGACTATCTCTCCTTGCAGATCAATGATAAAAATATCAATTCTTTTCCTATTGACAATAATTAAGCAATATTACACCTCACATTATTATACTCCAAACTGAAGTCACGAAGTACTGAAATCTGTCATGATAACTATCTAGAATTTTGATTTTTCTGACATGTTTAATATGTTTGTGAGATAACCGAATCCTTGTGTGTCAGGGGCAGGAGAGAAGAACAGTGCTGTCAGATTAATTGATTGCAATGCAAGCGTACACAAAGCGGGATGAGGCTGACTGGAAAATTACTAGATTCATACTCAGAAATACTGAATGAAAGTCAGTATTTTTTTCTTCTTTTACTGTTTTTTTTTCTGGAGTTTCTCTGTTCTTGGAGTTAATATTTGACTTGCATATCCTACTGGTAAAACTGCATGGAGAAAAATGAATAATGCTGATGGTTATGTAAGGTGAACAACTTTATATCAATGTTAACAAAATGCACGGCAAAGGAACGCTATAAAATGAAGAATGGCCTTAAGCCTTACAAGGCGATATTACGGTAAATAACCAAAATCTTGGTCAAAGAAGCACATTTTAAGATGTCTTGAAGGAGGAAAGTGAAATAAAGGATCAGAGAGTTGCAGAAAGAGAATTCTAGAGCTTAAGGCCTATGTAGTAGAGAGTATAGTCTTCAATGGTGAAGCAATAACACTCCGGGATAGCAGAATTAGATAAACGTAGATCTCAACTGGAGGAGGCTATGGGGTGGGGGGCTTGATATGAAGCTGCTGTAGCTCAGTGAGCACAGTGGTGAAAGGGATACGTGACATGGTGACATTTCCTAAGGCATGAGCAGCAGAATTATCTATGCCTCAAGTACGCAGAGGCAAGCTTGCAAACAGATTGGTTTAATGTCAGTGTTGTCAGGGAGAGGGATAGAGTTGATTGCAAGGGAACAGGAGTTTGGAATTGCAACTGGAAGCGATGGCTTAAGTTTTCCCAATATTTAACAGAGAATATTTCTGCTCGTCCAGTATTGGACATCTGATAATCCAGCAAAAGCAGTGGCAGTTGAACATGGTAATAGTGTGGTAGAAATGGATATCATCAATGTACGTAATGCTGTGTTTCCAGATCATGTCGATGAGAAATAGGAGTGAATGAAGGATATATTATTAGGGAGTACCAAAGGTAGCTGTATGGGTACAGGAAGAGAAACCATTGCAGGTGATACATTAAAGCAAAATAACATGAATGCTGGATATCTGAGTTCCAAAGAAGAGTCATTGGACTTGAAACATGAACTCTGCTTCTTTCTGCACAGATGCTGTCAGACCTGATAAATTTCTCCAGCACACTCTATTTTTATCTCAGGTTTCCAGAGTATGCGGTATTTTGCTTTTAATAGATAATAATCAAATCAGGTGAGAATACCAACCCAGCTGGATGACAGTGGATACAACAGTGTGGAGCTGGAGGAACACAGCAGGCCAGGCAGCATCAGAGGAACTGGAAAGTTGACGTTTCAGGTCGGGACCCTTCTCTGGATGACAGTGGAGATGCTTTGGAAGAGAATGACATTATCAAACATGTCAAAGGCTACAAACAGATTGAGAAGGAAGTTAAAGGAATGTTGACCTTTGTTGCAGTCTCATTGGATGCACTTGTGACTTTGGTAGAATCTGTTTCCCTGTTGTAGCAGGGGCAGAAAGGTAATTGGAAGAGTACAAACATGGAATTCTGGAAAAGATGAGAATGATTTCAGAGGCCAAAATAAATTCAAGGCCTTTGGAGAGCAAAGGGAGGTTGAAGATAACACTATGGAGCTGGAGGAACATAGCTGGTCAGGCAGCATCAGAGGAGCAGGAGATCTGATGACCAAAACATCAGATTTCCTGCTCCTCTGATGCTGCCTAATCTGCTGTGTTCCTCCAGCTCCACACTGTGTTATCTCTGACTCCAACATCGGCAGTTCTTACTATCTCAAAGGGAGGTTGGAGTTGGGCCTGAAATTTACAAGGATGCTTGGGTCAAGAATTAACTTTTGAGGCTAGAGGGTGGTTAATAGCAGACTAAAAGAACAGGACCATCTTGAGGAAAGAGAAACATTAACAAAATTGGCCAACATGGGCATCAGGAGAGGAAGTTGGATGGTTAACAGTTCAATGGCAATACTGCTAAGGGAGCAGAAGATGGATATCATGAACATGATAAGGTCAGATACAGCATGAAGGGAACTTCGGAGGAAATTTGGCCAGATGGGCACGTAAAACGGAGGATCATGGTAGAATTAGCTGATTGGATGGTCCCAATCTTAGTGACAAAGAAATCAAACAGTTCTTAATATTGCAGGTGAGAGTGGAGGAGACAGGAAAGAGTTGTTTTTAGAAGATAATTTGCAGTACAGAAAGAAAGCTTTGCATTCCGACATGATATTGGAGTATATAATGATTTTAACAGATTAGAGCAGGACCTATTGTTGAAGTGGATGGCTGAATAAGTTCTATGCCATTTTCTTCCAGATCTGCAAGGTATGTGACTCAGGGAGCTGGTTAGCACAGTTAGCTAGCCAGCTGGTTTGCAATGGCGAATAATACGATCAGCGTGGGTTCAATTCCAGCATCAGCTGAGTTTATCATGAAGGACTCTCCTTCTCAACCTCTTCCCTCCCCGAAGTGTGATTCCCTCCAAGTTTTCCCTTGATTTCAGTAATAAAACAAACTTTAAATAGAAATTCCTCTAGCTCTGTAATGCTGCATATCATATTTCGTGCATACTTGGAGCGACAAGTTGGATGACAATGGTCTCTTTCAGTCCTGCACACGTCTGTGTTTCCTCTTTGTACCACTGTGCTCTATTACATTGTAGGGATAATTTTCCATTATGATTCTTTTTGTGTGGCAGCAATCTTAGATAAGCACTTACACATGTCTCTAGCTATGCCGAAATACTGTGAAAACCTTCCAGCAATTGCTTATTAATAGCAAAATTACTAATTGCTGATTTAATCAACCCCATGATAGTATTGGACTTTGACAAGAATTACATCATAAGAAATTGCACAGCTATTTTGATTCCCAAGGATTTTATCAATTATCTTCATTTTATTATTACTGTTTTGTCTTGTCACAGATTGTACCTTGGTAATCCCATGGATCCTCCAGATATCCTTGGACTTGACATAAAACCGACCAGACCAACCCAGCTACCGGGAAGATCTAAAAGTAAGAAGCCCAAGTCAAAAAAATGTCCAATCCCGTGCTCTGTAGGAATTTTGCTTTTTCCGCTTTATCTGGCTCTGTTGCATTTTCAGTATTTCAATTTACAACAGCACTTTTGCTCAATATAAAGTTTTATCCACATCTAATACAGATTATGGAAAAATGCCAATCTGCTCCTAAACTCAGTAATATTAAGGTTGCAGTTTAGTAAATGCTGTCTTGGCAACATTACGTCAAAGTATAAGCACTCTCACCAGCCCTTCTGTTTCAGATCTTTTTATGGTACCATTCTTTTACATTAGAGATCACACAACAGAGTCTGTTGAGTTACAGTCTGAAATGCCAGTCCTTGCTTTATGTGCAAATAATAGAATCTTTTTAAACTTTGATGTGCTATAGGATTGGAAAGATTTTTTAAAGTTATATCATTGAGAAACTTGGAATGAAGAGCCGTGATTAATAGTGTTGGAAACCTCTGAGATCAAGAAAATTGCTGAGTTGCTCATGAATAGGGTCATATTTAGCTTCAGTACACTGTATCCCTTGTATGTTTGTTGAGCTAAGGTGGTATTGATACTGATGAAATAGATATATAAATTTTCCATGATCTACAAACAATATTTGATCTTGTTTACTTAAACAATTAGAGAGGTAAAATGTAAAAATTACTTGCAGAGTCTTCAAAAATAATTCTATCCACTAACAATACTTGACAATACTTTAATTACCACTATGGATATAGTGATGTTATATATTATTTTTGTTCTTTCAAACTTGGGTGTAGGCTGTTGAAGTATAACTTTGCCTGATTTTTATTTATAATTTTCTGTGCTTTATTTTAAATCTCTCTAAATTAGATTTGTTTGCTTTTTGAGCTAAGAATAGTCATTAACCCTTAAAAGTGTAATAAATTTGAGTGAAATCTCAGTCTTCTCAATATGGTGTGACCAATGGACAGATGACATAGTGGCTGTAATTAATGAGACAGCAAACTTTGCCCGTAAACAATTAAGAGAGAACATTGCTCCTTAAAAATCGGTGCGAGATGAAAAGGAGGTCAGGCTCCCATTCTCAGTCACAAGAGATAACTTGTTTATATAAAATGTCATTCTCTGTGATCTGCCTATAAGATGATTGTGCTCACAAAAGTAGTTGTTGGGTGTGGAAGGTGGACAAATAGAGTTCCAACGTAAGGCCCGGGGTCTATTTCAAAGTCTGTCTCTTTATTAATCTGTTTAGAATCCATTAAACTGTCACTATTTGCCATGTGTGTGTGATTTTTGGGTTTGTGGAATTTTGAACCACATAGCCAATGAGATCTGAGTCATGTATTGCTACGACTGGTGAATGTGTTTCTGCTACAGAAGTAGAGTTGGATTGTTGAACAGTGTGTGTGTACAAGACATCTTAACCAAAAACTGGCATTTGATTGGAATAAACATGATAGATAAAAGTAAGAATGCTGATACGGTTCATTAAATATGAGTTTGCAACCTTCAGTTAGGAAGCTTATGTTGAAAAGGATCACACTCTGCAGGTTACTGTCAATTCTGGCTGTTTGACGGTTAAATGACATGTGCTCTACATGTTGTCTATTGATGTCTGTGGTGTGATTGAGCTAATGACTTTGGCCTTTTCTTCCTGTGCTGCCTCTTTTAACATTTGCAGAGGAGCCTCCTCCACGTCCTCCTCAACCGACCATCTTTGGCAAGAGTAAGTTACGACATTTTCTCCAGTATAAAAGGTGTTCCTGCCCACTCTGTTCCATTTTAGCCCCGATTTTCAAAGGTATTTTGTGGTGTATCACTACTCGTCAGGCATGGATTTGCTGTGTCGTAGGAGATTTGCACAGAACTGAGATTGAGACACTCTGTTTTGAACAGTCAATACTGTTGAGTTCATTTATCACTAAATTACATATTAAATCAGTCTGCCTATTTCATTGTGTTGTAAATTTGAGAAACTTAATGCAACACTTGTAATAGTGTAGCAATTATTTTCTTTCATATGCAGCCTGCTATATTCCATTGATATTCAAACTTAACTAAAAAAGTACTTTAGTAATTCTTTGGCAGTCACTACTGACAAACTAAGTTCTCCATTGTGGAACATATTACTACTTTGTTGAGATAATGTAACCCTTAAATCCTTGCATACTTATAATTATTTCTCATTTCTATTTGCCCCAACACCTCATACTCTTAAACAAAAACAGACGTTGCTAGAAAAGCTCAGCAGGTCTGGCAGCATCTGTGAAGAAAAATCAGAATTAACGTTTTGGGTCCGGTGACCCTTCCTCAAAACTGAGCTTTTCCAGCAACTTCTGTTTTTATTTCAGATTTACAGCATCCGCAGTTCTTCTGATTTCTACCTCCTATTCTTCATTGTTGTTACTGTCTTATGATAGAGGTTTCTTAATCTGGTACTTTCATGATAGGGGAATGTGTAGAAATGTATGTGTCCCCTGTAACTGGAAAATACACGCCAGTACTTTTTATGGATATTGACTTTCCAAACTTAGATTGCATCTGCAGAGTACAGTTTAGTGTATTCAACAACTTAGAAAAGTGCTGCTAGATACAGCTCTACCACTAGTAATAATGAATGGGGCCTGAAATCATGAGCATAATGCAAGAACCATATCATGTATTACTATAGTTACTGAGATAAGTACAGTTTTCCTTTTCAGTAAATTAATTATGTCTGCTTTGGCCTGTAGCTCATGCCAAGATTTATCATCTACTTTACAGCAACACATATAGGGAGTGCTACATTGCTTGAACAATAATTTGAAAGAAAGCAGACAAAGTATTATTAGTTAGGTAGACAAGAGATCCCACTGAAGAATCAAAGAGTCAAGCAGAGTTTGAACAATAGGGAGTACTTCTGGATGTTTCCCTTGAGGGATGTGGTGACATAATGGTATTGTCATTGGACTAGTAAATCAGAGCCCCAGTCTAGTGTTCTGGAGGTGTGTGATCTGCACATAGCAGATGGTGAAATTTGAATGCAATAAAATCTGAAATTAAAATCTACTTTATTAGTGACCGTATAATCATTTTTGATCAAAATTCTGGCACTCCTTTCCTCACTGCTCTGTGAGTTCAAGGACTGCAACCCTTCAAGAAGCCAACTCACTATCACTTTCTCCAAGGCAATTAGGGATGGGCTAGGAATTCTGGCTTAGCCAGCAATGCCCTCATCCCATGAATGAATTTTGAAAATAAAAACCCACCTTCACCACCAAAACAAAATAAAATTAACATTTTTACTACCTTATGTGCACAAGTTTCCTAGCCTATTTACCTACATTACACCAATGTCTACACTTAAAATTACACCATGAAGAAATGGCTTGGGACTTCTAGAATATGGAAAAGGCAAAATATAAATACACATTCTTTTCTCATTTTGGGACATTCAGAAAGAGGTGGGCAGAGACCATCCAATTCCAAGAATTCCTTTCCATTGATATATGGTGCAACAGCGTGCACAGTGCACTCATTAACCTAATCATGCACTTGTGTGTTAGAGGCAAAATAAAGATGAACTTGATAGAAATTCTGGAAACATTCCTATCAGACATGCTGTGGTCATGAAATATACTTTCCCCATACTTGTGAACAAAACTGCAATCCCAACTAACAGGAAATATGTTATGCATTTATTGTACAGAAGGTATTGTAAGAGAGTGGATTAAGCACTAACCTTTCATCTGATCAAACTAGTAGATCTGTCTACTAACTGCAAAGGCTCTACGTGAAGTAAATTTGATGAGTTTTAACCAACTAGACAGGCTCAATATAAGACTGCACTTGATTTAGCAGTCTTATTCAGAAATGGCATGTGCTTCTGAGATTGGAATTTGCTAAGGGGTGAATGTTCCTGACTTTAAGTTGTTTGATGTTATAACCTATATCCAAATGTTTCTGGCAAGAGCATATTGCTTCCTTCAGAACCAAAAACCTTTTTACACGGAAACAAGAATAGGTAATTTGGCACTTAGAGCCTGCTCTGTCATTCAGCAAGATCTTGGCTGTTCTGGTTGAGGTCTCAACTCCTATCTGAGCCTTTTCTTTTAACAATTTGGCTACAGCATTTCTCATCAACAGGTTTTAGTTAGTCTTTGGACATTCTTGGCTGGCCTTTGGATATTCTTGATTGGATGAGTGAAAAGTGACTTAATCAGTTTGAAATCAAAAATGCCTCACAAATCTGATTCTGTTCATTTCTACGTATGACCATCATCACAAATTGAACTTTGTGTTGTCACCTCCAGTATTGAAGAACCTGGCTTTCATTTTATTTGTGCCACTGTTGTAATCCCAATTTGTAATACCAAATGGTTCCTGAGTGTCTCAATTGTAGGAAGTATCTGTGCAGACTTTTTTTTCACCCCCAGTTGTACTAACCATCTTGCTGCCATTTCCTGTGTGCTGAGTGCATGTGTTATCTTGTATCTTAAAGAAAACTGACATAATTAACTGACCATTTAATTTGCAGTCAACGAAGTATCTATGTTCATATCACTTTGTTTAACGGAAACTGCACTGTACAGTGACCACCAATGCAGTTTCTTTACCAAGCTTTCCTGTGACAACCAGCAGTATTTAGTATTTGCAGTAAGAAACAGACAAGAAAGACTAAATAAAGATACTGACTTGTTAATAGTTTAAATTTGTTATAAGAAGGAAAGCAAATGTTTTCAGCTTATTTCCCCAATGGATTGACTGTTTGAATCTTTTATTTTTAATATAAAGTTTAACATTTAATGAGGTGTTATATTTAGAATTGTTTAAATTTTTGCATTTTTCTTCAAATTCATTGGTTCCAACTTATTTAAAGAATCTACTCTTTAGAGATACATTTTGTGTAACTTCTGCCTCTGAATATCAACATTTTCTGACTGTGGAATGAATTTTATGTGGTGCCTTGTTCTTCCCACCTCCAGTGACTGAAAGTTGATTCCAAACCCAGGCAGAAATAGTCAGCTGCAGTGTTGCCACTTTATGATCAGTGGGCTACTAATTGGCTCAAGCCGAGACTTCTATTTCCAGGTGGGGAGGAAGTTACTGCTCAGAAAGCTGACATCTAATCCTATAGCCAGAAACTCTGCTGTCTTAACAGTGCCAGGTTCAAGTGGTGGCCACTGCTGGCACTACAGGCAGGCAGTCCCCAAAGAAGAGAAGCAAATGGAGGTCATACTCTGTTTAGTCCAGGATATTACTGAGGGCATGCTGGTAGGGCCAATCTTAGGGTGTTTGGGGCTGTTTGAGAGGCTGGAAGGGCTGAAAGGTTACAGGGCCTCTAGTGGGTTTGGGGGTCAGCCTTTGAAAAGCAAAAGGGTCTCCCAAAGGATTTCCTGATATTAGCCCAGACTGTTAAAGCTGTCAGTCCACCTGTTTTGTTTGGGCCTCACCCCGCCACAGTTAATAGCGTAATGAAGCACTTTAGTATCCAAGAGTTGTACTCATAAGGGCCTCAGTTTGTCGGAGCCACCTGCTGCACCTCACAAGCCTGACAGCTCCTCCCCATATTTTGAAATATGCTGATGTGGGAGCATAAAGCTAAATGGTCTGTGGGAGTCATATAGTTGTGAATAAGTTCCCACATAGCTCTTCTGTTATCAGCATGTACAGACATGGTAAATACATTAGTCAATGTGTTTTGCAGAAAATAATTTCCAGTGTTGTGGTATCTTACCTTATACTTCAGTTTGTTAACTGGCGCCTAATGTCTACCAGTTGTAAAATCAAGTTAAATGAGCTGAGGCTTCACATGATTCATTATACATAACAGTGATATATGCTAAGTACAGATTTAATCTGGAAGATGCATTATTTTCATTACTCACCAGAATGCCACCTGACAAATCCGTGAACAGACTACATTCTAGAAATATTATCTATGATTTATATCAGTCATAGGGCAACGATTTTCATTTTTATTGCTCAATGCTGCTAATCCATGAGATCTTGCCATGAAGTCAAGTATCTGTTTGTATTCATTCAAAAGTGATTTCTCATCGGTACATTCCATCTTCCATTGGAAAATGGTTCGACTGGATGCTGGAAATTAGAAATGTGATTTCACTGGGCTGAAGGTTTCCTTTTCAAAAGTGTGCTAATTCAAAAACCAAGGAACTTAATCTAAAAATGTTAATAATCAAGTGAGCTTAATACCATCTTGGCATCAAATGATTGTGACTTCAGTCTGAATTTCAGGACTTGGAATATATAATGAAGACTGATATCTCAGTGTGGTACTGTGGGAATGCCAAATTGTTAGAGGTATGGTCTTAGCTTTCGGATAAAAAGTTGAAGCATAGTCTCCTCTCCCACTTGGGTGGATCTGTTGAGATGAGTAGGTGAAATCTTCTAATAATACAGCCAATGTTTATCCTTCAACCAACCTGATAAGAAACTCAGGTTATGTCCATTACCTTCTGTTTGTGGGACCTTGTTCATGCAAATTGATTGCTGTGTTGCCTGCGTAATGATACTGGTTGTTGTTATTTGGCTATGAAATACTTTAGAACATTTTGAGGGCATAAAAGAACAAGGATGCTAGCTCGCTTTTTTTAAAAAAAAGACAAAATTAATGCAGAAAAACAACTACTAGCTCAGTTCAATTATGATGAACAATACAAATACTATTCTCAAACTTCTACTTATATTTCTAAATGTAACCATAGGTGTACACCAAATTCTGAAGTTAATAATGTATTTAATTTGTGGAACATGTAGATAATTTATTGGATGGGATTGCATGTTCAATGGAAAGATGCTGAGAAGTGAATGGCAGAGCATGCCAGGGGTTCATATCCATAATTATTTGCAAGTGCAGGTGGATAAAGGATTTAAAAAAGACCATAAAAATGTGGATTTCATAAATAGGGGTAGCAGAGTACAGGCATTATAAACGTTATTTTAGAGAAAAGCTATGCAAGACATTGTTAGACCACAGAAACTGATGTAATTTTTGGCACACCATTACCGGAACATCATTAACAATTCTAGAGTATATGAATGGTAGATTTGCCAGGAGGAGAAAGCAGTAGCTATAGAGTCATAGAGTTATATCAATTTGCCAGCTCTCCCTGGATTCCATGCGATCTAATCTTCCAGAACAGTCTACCATTTGGAACCTTACCAAAGGCCTTACTGAAATCCATGTAGATTACATCTACCACCTTGCCCTCATTAACCTTCCTGGTCACTTCATCAAAGAACTCTAACAAATTTGTGAGGCATGATCTCCCACGCCTGAAGCCATGCTGACTACTCCTAATCAAACCCTGTCTTTGTAAATGCAAGTATGTCCATCCACACTAACCCCATTTCCCTGCACTTGACCCACATCCTTCTAAACTTTTCCTTGAGGAGAGATTTGAGATACTGGGACTATTGCCTCGGAAACAGAAAAAACAGAGATAAAATTTCATGGAGTTTTGTAAAATTGGGCATAATGGTATTAAAAAAAGAACAAAGAACAACATAGCACAGCAACAGGCCCTTCAGCCGTCCAAGCCTGCGCTGACATATTTTGTCCTTCCATACTAAAATTGTCTCCACTTACAGAATCTGTATCCCTCTATTTCTTTCCTATTCATGTATTCATCCAGGTGCTTCTTGAATGCTGCTATTGTGTCTGCTTCCAGCACCACCTCTGGCAACGCATTCCAGACACTCACCACCCTTTGTGTGAAAAACTCGCCTCACATTTCACTTTTAAAGTTGCCCCCACCCACCTTGAGCCTGTGTCTCCGAGTTATTGAACCTTCCACCCTGGGAAAAAGCCTCATACTTTCCACTCTATCGATGCCATTCACAATCTTAGGTTGCCTCTCAACTTCCTGCATTCCAGTGCAAACAAACCCATTCTATCCAACCTTCATAGCTGAAATCTCCCATACTAGGCTACATCCCAGTAAAACTCTTTTGTACCCTCTCCAAAGCATCCACATCCTTCTGGTAGTGTAGTGACCAGAATTATATGCAAAATTCTAAGTGTGGCCTAACTACAGTTCTATAAAGCTGCAGCATAACTTGCCTACCCTTATACGTAATACCCCTTCCAAAGAAGGCAAGCATGCCATAAGCCTTTTTTACTACCTTATTTACCTGCGCTGCCACCTTCAGTGATCTGTGGACTTGCATATCAACACTCCTAAGGATTTTGCCATTCACCGTATAATTTCCACCTGTACTTGACCTTCCAAAATGCATTACCTCACATTTGTCCAGATTAAATTCCATCTGCCATTTTTCTGCCCATGCCTCGAACTGATCTATATTGAGGAACATCTCTCAATGCATAGAACACAGAACATAGAACATAGAACAGTACAGCACAATACGGGCCCTTCGGCCCACAATGTTGTGCTGCACTTTTATCCTAATCCTAAGGTTTATCTAACCTCCACCCCTACCTTATACTATCATAACATATGATATACTATCATATCAAATGCAGTGGGTTGTTGGAGCATGGGTGCTTTGTCAAAGTGGTTGAAGCAGAGGATATTGCACCTTTTCTAGAGAAATTTGTTTAATAATTGAAGGAGAGGATGTTACAGGGCTAAGGGAAGAGAACAGGACAGTTAAATTGTTTTGGACCACACCAACAAAGCACTAGCATTTAAAGCATGGTCTATTTGACCTCCTACAGTACTATAAATTTCCTTAGTAAAAGGAACAAGGTTCACCAGACTTATTTCTGGGATGGCAATAATGCTGTTTGGAGAGAAGACTGTGAAAATTAAGCCTGTATTCTCTGGTTTTCTGACAAATAAGATGTGATCATATTAAGGTCTACAAAATACTTAGCGAGATAAAGAGAGTAGATGGAGGTAAGTTGATTCTTCTGGTTAGAAAGTCCAGAAGTGGCAGCTTTTTTTTTTGCTCATGGTTATGACTCTTTGGAATTCTCAAACCTTTAGATCTATGGAAGCTCAGTCATTGAGTATCTTTAAAGTAGAGTTTAATAGATTTCTAAATACCAATGAGGGAAGGGATATGGGTCTAGTCTGGGAAAAAGTGACATTGAAGTAGATGATCAGCCACGATCATATTGAATGGTGACAAACCAGATTTGATTAGTTGAATAGTTTCCTCCTGCTTCTACGTTCCAATGCATATTTAATAGGCCAGAATATTGCACAAGTAGTAGCAGGGTAGAAGTTTCAAACGAATAGACTGTTTTGACCTTCCTAAAATAGTTCTATTTCTGAATTCTGTGTTAAGTAATTCTGTTCTTGCATATATTTCAGAGCCTGTTTATGACCCTGTGATTGAAGAGGAAGCTGCAGTTTCATTACCTCCTAAAAAGCTCAGTCTGAAGAAACAGGGCCCAGTGAAAACTTTAAAGCTCAATAAGCCAGCTGCCCGTGTTTTTGCCACAAAGTTGGGGGAGAGGTCATCAGATGGGAGTAAATCCTGTGGTCATATAGCTAACGAGGTGGCTCTGATTGACTTTGGAGATGAACAGACAAGCCCGACTCCATCTCCTGTACTGGACAACACTATTCCTACACTGGCCAAGCTAGTTTTGGATTCTTATTCATTACTGGACAAGACACCACCACTGAGTCCAACCAGAACTTTGCCCAGACCTTTGCATCCTGTCCCTATTGTTGACTGGGATTCCAAACCCTTGCCTCCACCTCCAGCCTATGATGATGTTGCTCAGGATGAAGATGATTTTGAAGTTTCGTCCATTAATAGCCTAGATACAGGGTTAATTGGTGAAGTGTCAAAATATGGAACTGTTCAGTTACCAAGACATAGAGAAGTGGGGGAAACTAATTATGCATTTGTGCATGATACAGATGGCAAAGGAACGCTCAAAGTGGAGGATAATTTATTTTTACCACCCAGGCACACAAAACAGACCAGCTTCTCACAGTCAGCTGAGATATTTGAGGAACTTCAACAAGAATGCATGAAAAAACTTAACGTCCCTGTCATTTCAACACCAGCCTCCACACCAAGTCCCATCTTGTCAGCAAGTGTGTCCCCAACTATTTCTGATGATAGACCTCAGATTCCACCACGGATTCCCATTCCTCCTCGGCCTTTAAGGAAAAATGAGCTCGGCCGCTGGTCTGGTGAGATGTCACCTGCATCTGGAGGTGAAGAGGACAAGCCTCCACAAATTCCTCCCAGAGATCCAATGTCCCAGCCATCCTCAAGAACTCCAAGTCCTAAGGCAGTTCCTGTCAGTTTTCCCCAACAAAGGCCAACAGCATCTTCAATGACATTAACTGTAGGTGCATACCTCTCAACATCTCCTAGCAAGTTAATGCCGACTACTCAGAGTTTTGCCTCTGACCCAAAATATGCCTCACCAAAAGTCATTCAAGCACCAGGAAAGGACAACACAAAAGGACCTTGCATCCTGCCAATAGTAAAAGATGGAAAGAAGGTTAGCAACACCCACTATTATTTGCTTCCAGAGAGACCTCCTTATCTGGACAAATATGAAAAATTTTTCAAAGAAGCTGAGAGTATGGATGAACACTGCTCCAGAAAACCTGTGACCACAGCAACAGTGAGGCCTATGATGCAACATCCTGAGTATAAAACCAATTTTTCATCCAACAATAGTAATCCTGGGTCTTGTGTTCCAACAATGAAAAGTTCTCATAGTCTGCAAAAAATGCCTTATGAGATTTCAAGTGGCAAGACAGACAGTATTGCACCTTCAGACAAAATTAAAATAGTAAGTAAATTTAATACAAATTTACTGGTGAAATTCTGAACAGGATGCATATTTAAAGCAGATCAGTACTGTTTTAGTAAAAGACAATTCCAGAGTGACTGGAACATCCAAACTTAAAACAAAACCATATATTTTCTTTATTTTAGTCAGTTTGAATTCCTCAGTCTGAATGATGAGGGTTTGCTGGCTGGATTCAAGAATGGATGTCCTTACAGTTTATTTCATAGATGATTAAATACACTTTTCAAGTTTGTGCTTCCTTGTCTAGTGCCTAAACTTAAAACCCAACAACCGTAACGGTTTGGAACAGTGTATGATGCGTAGGACTGGAATGTATGCTCCTTCACCGGCAGGGAACCTGATTGCCACGTACCCACCCACTCCTGCCCACACCGTAATTTTACAGCAACAATGGTCGTACTATATGACCCATCTACCAATGGGCAATTTGAGTCCTTTAAGTAGGTAATTAATGCCTGCTTAATATTAATCCCCTGGTGGTTAGGAGTTAATCAACAGCAGGAGAGCTCCTGCTGCCAAGTACCCAACCTGACTGGTTTCTCTGCGTGGACTGGCAACAGATGGGATTTATGGCCTCCTTAAGGACCACATTGGAGCTCAGAAGAGGGAGTCTACCAAGATGTGACCCTCTCTCATAGCCTGTAAACTTTAGCCTCACCAAACCTCTCACTGGAACCTGCTAACATGACACCATTTGAGAGCCCAAAATACCCGAGTCATAATCTAGTGCTACCAGTACTGCACAGCTGCCAGCCTCTGGCCAGCAACTGTCTGACATGGGAATTCTTCTACCTGAATGTGAGATGACTCATGTTTAGTCTGTTAACAGCCAATTGATTGTTAAATGTTTGCATTGCCTGGGACTATCTCCCCTACATTTTAAGTGGGTGGGTGGAGGTGGGGCTTAAGGCACGGGAATCCTGCAAAGTCTGGTCCATGCCTTGTGCCATCCACTATGCTGCAAACGACCTATCAGAACGGCAGTACGGCTCTGCATTTCTGTAGGATCTCTGATGGGAAGCCCCTGTCATAAGTGTGGAGCTCCCTGCTTTTGTTTAAAAAAAAGACAACGTAGAATGGCAGTCTGCATGAGATTGCCATCCTTGGGAAAATCCAGTTCACTATGTCAATTGTTACATTTTGAATTCAGATTTAAATCTAAGATGCAGAAAAATCTATTGTTATTGTCTGATTAAATCTTCCAGGTTTGTACATATGCAATGAAAACACATTTGCTGTGACTTCACCAGTCTCTGGAATGTGCACTTGGAATGATTGCTTTTTCTTTATAGGAGTGTGTATCTGTTTGGGGAAAAAAAAATTGCTGCTAACTTAAGCCTGTCAACTTTGTCAATTTAAGTAATATAGTGTCTGAGAAACATGTAGCTTTACATTTAATGAAGGGTTGATAAATTGCTAAGGGTATTAATGAATGCTCCTAATTCTGCTGAGCCAAATATCCATATATGAACACTAATACAGAAGGTATTATTATTACACGACTGCATCACCTAATAATTGAGCTAGCGAGAATGGTAAAAGAACCCCTTGAAACCCAAAATATTGCCACAAAATTGAGTAGTCCTTGAGAAATTCTAAGGAAAAGCCTTTTTGTGGGTTGTGGGGTGAACTGGGGGGAGAGGGTTGGATGGTGCGGGGAAGAGAAAAGATTTGTTTGTGTGTTGGCTACCACTGTCACTGGCCTTTATGTTACTATCCCCAGCATTTCAAAATGCTGTCCTTCAGTCCTCTTAAAACATTCCACTCATTGGTCTCCTTGCAGGAGAAAACAGAAAAGCGGCAGAGAACTGGAGGTAGCCCTCCAGTCATTGCTACATTGACGTATGCAGAGGAGGATGCACTCAATAAACTGGATCTCGGAATGCAGGTCTCCAAGTTACCTGGTAGCAAAATTTAATATCCACGTGACATACAACACTCGCTCTTGTTGACTTGATATCAGCAGGTTATGAAGAATGATGATCTGCACAATAATGACTTAGAACCTATCCTTCTTGTCAATTCCATTTTACATCTTATATCTCATATTAAGTGTCTTTCCACAGCTGTTAACTGGAGGATGAAGATTTTTCGGAGGAGGTGCTACTCTGAGAATGCACCATCACATGATTCATGCACACCTTCCATCAGCACAAATGCATATATCTCAGTCGTCCACCAAGATGGCTACTTGTGTTGTCACATAATGAAGCACTGTCCACAAGTGAGCAGGATCATATGTTGGAGACAGGAACAACATTGGAGAACCTCATTGGAAGGACACTGTTTGTTTGTGCAAGATATAGCTACTGAACCACCAGATCACAAATTGGAGAGAGATTGGAAGAATCCATCCCTCATGATTGTCATGTGTCAGTCTTTTCTGCTAAATTCACACCCATGCACTGAGTGACCACCTGAAACCTAGTATGCAGCTGAATGCATGCTTGTCCTCAACAATTCTCCACACAATTAGTTGGCCACTTAAACTGCATTTAAGCAGCACCTCACTACAGCAAGGTTTCTGCAGTTTTTGCTTAGGTAGAGGTACAGATGGGCAGTGAGGGTCAAAATGGAGACAGGGTACAGAAGAAGACTCTGCTCAATGCATTTGCATTTGCCTTCCCAGGCTTTCACCCCAAATGCTCCCTGAATCTCTGCTGTGTCCTCAGTCAAAGCCTCTGGCTGCTATCACTGTGGTACAGTTTGTCCTTAAAGGTACACATGAGGCTGTCAGTAACAGTAGTATAACGCTTCCAAATACCCAGAAGACATCAACAAATTGCATCTTGGCTATCAGCTAGGGATTGGGCAGCCTGCCCCTTGCTCTGTTGAAGCCACTGCAATTGCTTCATGTAGGAGTGATAGAGAAAGGAAGACCGATGGTTTGCATAGGCTATTCACTTAGATATTTAACACTGAGCATGAGGAATTCTCATTTTGCCCTTAAATATTTATTAACCATAAACTTTATTTTGAAACTCCCCATGGTTTCCTATCAAATGATCTTCAGTATTGTTAAGGAAAAGAATGTTCGGAATAGTGTTAGTGAAATGAGTAGTTTGTTTATTGTGTGACTCCTTTCTGCTTGGGTGGTGTGAGGACCATAGTCGATTCTGAAATTGTTGTGCCAGATGGTTACACTACCTCCAGTTAGCTGAATCAGGCCATCATGGGCATCGCTGGTAACTATGTACAGTTGTAGGATCACATCACTATCATTCTAGAAACCCCTGTCTGGGGACCCGAATCTCACGTTTATAAAGCTGGCTTACTCAAGAACAATTTTTGTGCTAATGTCTCCTGGGTTGTGTTTTCATTTTCTGTGTCTCAATGTATGGCCCTATCACCATGTCTCTTCAACCATTCCCTGACAGAATAGACCTGGTCTCTTAAGGAGCTATCTGGCATAGCTCAGAGGCACATATATCCAGGGATACTTGACTGGTACAGGGTGTAAGTATCATGGCTGGTCCCTGGATGTCTTGCACAACCATATCAAGTGATCTTTTAGCAGTTGCTGGACATTGTTGGACTGCTGCATAATGAATTGCCATTTGTGTAAGCTATGTCCCCCCCTTATAATTAGAAATTCATTCAGAGCACGAAATCCCAAGGCCCTTTCATTCAATCTGACTTCATGGATGGTGAAGTGCAAGCGTGTTGTCCATGTTTGGCGTGCAGCAGATTGTGAAATTCTGCAGATGTTTCCTGTGGCTCTCTAGAAGGAGCTGGAGGTGAAAAAATTCAGAATGTGTTAACCACAAGAGGCAGTGAGCTTCTTGGGACATTTTTGCTCAAACAGGTTCGGAAAATGAATTACTTACTGTTATGATGAGGGTATTGGCTGTTTTAACTTGAATATTGTTCTTGTTTTCTCTGTCCTGTGAAGGGGCAGATGGATTCCAAAAAGACTGCTGCTGTTTCTGCTGGGGATCCACCTGGTGCTTCTGGTGCTATTTCTCATCAGTTGCTGAGGGTAAAGCTGCATCAGTAGCCCCCATACTGTTGGGAAGGCTGAGAGGAGGGAGAAGCAGTTCAAAAAGAAAAAGTCTAAATTGCAGAATGAAGGAAGCAAAGTATTGGGAATCATCTTCATAGCATTGACATGCGCAAAACTTATCCTGTGAGCAAAATCCTCTAAATTAGACAATGTAATAGCTCTTAAATGTGTAAGAATAACGTCTTTTTAATTTTTATGACTTTTAAAACCATGGTCTGTAAGGAAAAATAACTGTTATGAAAGCAGGGATTTACCAGAATGGCTGCAAAAATTCACAGCAAGGAATTTGATGCCTATTGTGAACTCTTTTTGTGACTGGTTTCCTACAATATGCAGATGATCAGGAACTCTCGAGTTGTTTATGGGTGAAACTGATTGGGTCTCAGCTGACTGAGCAGGTTGGAGCTGGATAGACAAACAGTAGGCTGGAAGAACACAGCAGGTCAGGCAGCATCTGGAGGAAAGGAGCAATCAACATTTCGGGTTTTACCCTTCAGCACTGAATGTGGGGGTAGGGGGAGCTGCAGATAAAGGGAGGGTTTGGGTGGAGGTGGAATAGTGGTGATAGGTGGACACTGATGGTAGGTACGACCTGGTTTGTCGATGGGAAGGATAAATCTGGTGGGTGGGTGGAAGGGAGGGTCAGAAGGTGGAATGGAAGGGAGGAAATGGGGCTGAAAAGGGAGCATCTACATTTGGTCTCTCTGAAGTAGAAAATACCTCATCGGGAGCTCCAGATGCAATAGACTAGGTTGGAGGAGATGCAGGTGAAGCTCTGTCTCACTTGGAAAGCTGTTTAGGACCTTGAATGGAGGTGAGAGAGGTGGTGTGTGGGCAAGTGTTGCATCTTTTATGGTTACAGGGGAAGGTACCCTAGACCAAGTGAATCTGAGGACAGGGTGGAAGTTGTTAATGAAGTTGATGAACTACTCCAGTTCAGCCTGGGTGCAGGATGCAGCATTTGTGGAGTCATCCG